ACTTAAAGTAAATGTAATTGTAAATAAGTCTCTTTTTTTAAAATTCCTGATGTTTCAAGGATAGGATCCAAGTCACTGCCATTTTGAGGCCCACCACAACGTGACGTAGGAGTGTGGTTTCCCCGCCCACCAAATTGATTGAAATCTGCCTATTAACACGTCTCCATAGTAATGTGTATATTCATATCCACAAGAGAGCATGTGCGCAAAGCATCTGGAATTAAAAGATCTGTTGAGCTCTCTGTGATCATCAATCATTATCAAATGGGATCAAGAATAAGTTTCACAAGTTTAAAATGTTTTAAAAACAGCATGTTTGTAAGAAAGACAGTAAAATCGATTCTTAATTCATCACCACAGCCGAAAAGAAGACGCATATCGGTTTTGTGGACACTTAATCAGATTTATTTTGTACATTAACATAGCGGATGTCCATACACCAGTGTATATTAATGTGTATCCTGTCACATTTGCTGTGCAAAAACAGTGCAAAGCTAAACGTGCTTGGAAGTGATCTTTATAATGACTGTGTGTGTGACTCATCATTGTAGAAAGGCTTGAATTTACTCCGCAACAAATATAACAAATAATCATTGGGAAAGTTCTAACTGTAGTAAGGAAGATCTGCTTCATTCTTGTCTGTCACTGTGCTGTTTGTCTACGTGAAGGCTATGGCTCTTACACACACGTGGGAACAGTGGACAGGGAAAACTAGCACATTCACATTAAAGGCACAGGCAACAAAAACAGTTACGATGCTATAACAGCTCAAATGTCCCAGATTTATTAAGGTATATAACAAATAATCACAAGCGATTTATATTACATCTTGAAAAAGGGTTAAAATAGGTGCCTTTTAAGTCTACCATCCAGGTACTGACCAGGCTCAACCCTGCTTAACTTCGTAAGGACAATCACGTGAGTTGTAGAGCGATAGCTGTTGGTTAATACAATTGGATCTGTATGCAACCTTTATGATGCAAGCTGAGAGTGCATCACTCAACGATGCAATCTCAGACACAATGCACTCAATGGAGTGAGTGACGTCACTGTGACGGGTAAGGTTAGGGGTGGGGCTAAGTTAACATATTAAAAACCATTGGATGCAGCTCAGATTGCACTGCACCAGGTCTACATCTAGACCCCTCTCGATTAAAATAAAGTCCTCCACTTACTATTACAGATGTTAAATGTGATCCTGGACCACAAGTGTATATTCTTAAAAATCTTGAGTTGCACAATTGTATTTTCAGCATTAGCTAAAAGGCTAATGTGAGTCAAAATAATAAATTTGTCATTCATGGCAAAAAATGATCATAATATTAATTAAAATCATGTTTCATGAGGATATTTATGAAGAAGTTTCCTACTGAAGACTTCATTTTTGATTGGTAATATGCATTGCTATAGCAATAACGTAATTTGGTTGACTTTAAATGATATTTTCTCAGTATTTTAATTTAGAACCCTCAAATTATTTTAAAATAGTTATATCTCTTCCAAATATTATCACATCGATACAAACCATTAATTATAATACTTGAAATTTTGATTTTCTACTCTACTACTGACTTTCTAGTCTGTTGTTTGGGTATAATTTAGAAAACTGACAGTCTAATATTTATTTGTGTTTGTGTGTAAAAACATTCACAACATTAATTCAAAACATGCGTTCAAACTGAACTGCCAGGAGAGGGAACAAGCTTTGTCTAGCTGGCTAGTTCATATAAAGCACATTCAGACTTTCCTCACTGTAAAGAGACAAACAACACATTGACATTTAAGCAGGGAAGCATCGACTGGCAAAGATTTCAGACATGACCTCATGCCAGCCCGTGAATGTGGATGAATGATGGCATATGAGGTCACTGAGGAGGTCTCATTAGGACAGTCTTTTTGAAATTAAATCACAGTTAGGTTCAGATACTAAATAGTTTAAATGTTTGCGGAATTTATTAATTTATAAGACATGAGACAGTGTTTGTTATTGTAAAGAAGATCGTGAGAAGCAACAGCTGCCACTTCGTAATGCTGTCATCTTATGTAAGCCATGTAAATCCTGTTCAATAATATCTGAAAGCTTATATCCTTTCTCTGTGAAGCTTAGTCTTCTGATACTGTACACAATGGATTGATTCTCACTCACTGTTTACAAATTATAACATTTACACCATTATTACACCATTACTTTTTAATAGTAAAGTAAAATAAAGAGACATTAATTAGCAAATTTAGAAATTAAATTGTCTAGATTAGATTCTCAAAAACTCTTTTTCACACATTTTCTCTGTATTTACTGGATTAATAATTGTGTATTTAGGTTTTAGTCTATAAAGGTGAACATGTATTATACACATAGAAATCACATTTTTGGAAGCAACACTATATACTGGGGGGAAATAAGTGTTCAACACGTCACCATTTTTCTCAGATAACATATTTTCTAAAGGTGCTGTTGGCTTGAAATTTTTACCAGATGTTGGTAACAACCAAAAAATTCACATAGCAAAGAAAACAATGTTAATTAATTTACTAATTAAGTAATGTGTAGTAAAATGAAATGACACAGGAAAAAAATATTGAACACAAGAAAAAATGGATGTGTAGAAAGACAGAGAAAGCCCAGACTGTAGCTGAAATCTCCCAGTAGTTATTCACCAACCCTCTGCCCTTCCTCATTGCAAATTATTGCTTTAGTCCAACATCAACATTATCAGGATGATGAAGATGAAACCAAGGTGGTCATTTCAGCAAGACAATCATCCAAATCACAACCAACCAAGGAAACTCTGAAATGATTTCAGAGAAAAAATATCAAGCTGTAGAATGGCCCAGCCAATCACCTGACTTGAATCCAATAGAAAATGCAAAATAAAGATAGACGAGATCCACAGAACCATCAAGATTTTTACACTGATGAAGTCGGTGTAAAAACTCACATCTGAACAATGCACGTGACCTCTATGAGGCATCTTTAAGCTGCATCATCAAAAAAGACTTTAATATAAGTAAATGCTGAGTAGTTCAGTACTTTCTTCTTGTGTGATTGCATTATTATTTCAGATAACTTTTTTTGTAATATCTTTATCTTTGTAATGTTTGGGTTTTTACCTAAATTTGGTTCAATTCCATGTCAACTGAAGAAAAAAAAAAAAAAAAAACTACTAACCACCCTTTCTGATTTAATGTAATAACATGAACATTTCATAAAGCTGCTTAAAATGATAATTATTGTAAAAGCATTATACAAATAACCTTGAATTGAAATAAAAAATACACAATATTATACATGTATGATATAAAAAATTATGAAAGATACAATTGACTTTAATTATAGGCTACATATTTTCATGCCAACCGTCATGGTAATGCCACCAAAAGATGATTTCTTTATACTTCAAAACAAGAATCTATTGATATATAATATTATATGATATAAAATGTATATGAATATGTCTTAAAACATGGCGCTTTTTATTATTTTAAAACTAATAAATGCCTTAAATGCTGGTTTTATTTCAATTTTGGAAGGCAGAATAAACAAAGATATGTTTTACTATAAATCATAAATAAGAAAAACTTGACAATTCTAAAATAGCCGCCTTTTTTCCAAAGCTGTAAAAGAAGAGTTCACATACAAAAACCTCTGAGTGCTGTCTTAAGTTTTCCTCTAAAATTAGCGTTTTCCTATGTTTATGTTTAGTTATTTCACTTTAAAAACAATAAAAGAAACCTATTCTTTGCTATAACAGTGAAATTACTGAACCTACATACAGGAGACTGTGAAAAAATGGTCGCTTTAGAAGAAAGTTCTGATTCACTTCAAATATATTTGATGGCAGGTGATGGGTGTTTCAGAAGCCCAGATGCTCCTCATCGTGTCCGGCCACGTGTGTGTGTGCGCGCGCGCTGAGCTGTAGAAGCACATGCTCGCTCATGCTGGAGGGACTGAACCATTCTGGACCACACCACGGGTGACAACGGTCTTCGTGTTTACGTGTATTTACGGGTTTTATGCATTGACAACCTGAAGTGAACATAAAAGGAAAGCGAGTATTAATCTACAATTAGAAATCAATGTACTGATGTACCACAGCATGTAGCCCATGCTGAGTATTGCTAGAAGGGCCAAACAGATGACGTAATTCTTTTTTTAAATTTTTATAAATACACACTTAATTTGTTTTTGATTTATTTAAATGCTATTTTTATGTAATACCTTTTTTATTTTAATATTAACAAAACATTATTTGCATAAGTAGCACAACAGTGAGATGCAAAAATATCAAGAAAATAGCAATGATGGTGATAGTAAATAATAAAGAAATATATTAATACATGTATTAAAAAAAACAATAAACAATCATAAAGTACACATAACATAGTTGTAGTGGGGAAATAATACCCTCATTAAATAAAACATTTTCTTACAGAACGTCAAAAGACAAACTTATCAGAACGTTGTCTTATTACCGACAATAAACCATTTATGACTAAATTTACACTTACACTCCTTCAGATGTGATACACATTTCACCTTGTCCAAGGTAAATAAAAAGAAAAATAGACTTCAGTTAAATATTTCCAATCCAAAATCTAAATAAATCCATTTAATTATTTAAAAAACACTTCTGCACGTGAATATTATTGCTTTTTAGAATTTGCTTGCTTCTGTTGCTCTCATTTGTATGTCACTTTGAATAGTGTCTGCTAAATGCAAAAGTGACAACTGTTTCAGTGTCATGTTACAAAACAACACTCGTAACGTTAAACACATTTTCAAAAAAAGCCTAGATGAAATTAACATGAACAAATTGTATGTATTTAAAAACACACGGTGTCTTATATTTCCTTCAGCACCAATTTAACAACACAACTCAAGCCACAAGAGGCGTTTACTTGAAACGTGTGTCTCGTGTGTCCTCGCGGGTCATCGACCCCCCCCACCGAACAGGGAAGTGGGACGATCCAGACAAGTTCTCTCAGTTCATTCAAGATTCATTCCGTTCGGACCAGATGCAGGACGGTCGCTGAATCGCCGTATGAAAACAAACCAGATGTCAGCTAATATTTAAGCGCTGCTGAACTTCCTCGAGCCCTGGAGCTATGAACGCGGAAGATATTTGCCAACGCACGCACACAACGTGAGGAGGCGCGATGAACGCAAAGGACCGAGAGCGGCGCCGGACGCGCAAAGCTGGCAAACGAGCCGAAAGCGCGAGTGTCCTGCGCTCGCTCAGCGTCGACAACATTGACGAGGAGAATGAAACAATGGCAGGCGAGCTGGACATGGGCAAACATGGCAGCCTGGAGAGGCGGATCATTGCTCCGCGGTACAGCTTGCTCCGTGAAGTTGGCAGGGGCAGCTATGGCGTTGTGTACGAAGCCATTGCCCGTAAATCAGGTGCGAAAGTGGCAGTGAAAAAGCTGCGCTGTGACGCGCCCGAGAATGTGGAGCTGGCGCTGGCCGAGTTCTGGGCTCTGACCAGCCTGGAGAAGCGCCACGAGAACGTGGTGCAGCTGGAGGAGTGTGTGCTCCAAAAAAACGGGATGGCCCAGAAAATGAGCCATGGCAATAAGCGTTCAAAGCAGTATTTGAGGCTGGTGGAGACCTCGCTGAAAGGTGAGGGGTGTTAGTTCATTCAAGCAATGCTATTTTGCAATTGTTCTAGAAGGTCAACAGTGTATGTGGGTTTTGTCATGCTCAAACAGTGTTTTTTGTCAGTGACAGCTCTCTCGCTTGGTCGAAATGACACATTGGGCATTTAAAATTGACATAACGTCGATGTATAGTGATTTAGCATTGTTATATGAGGTAAAACGAGCAAGGATCCATTGTTTGGCAGTGACTCACTTATGACACCGGACGCTTGTATCGCGCATGTCTATGTTCTACATTTAAGATTTCTTACATAAAAAGTAAACAAGGCGAAAGTCGGTCAGATTTGCCCTCCTCCCACAGCCTTTTCTCGGTTATGAAACTGAGGTTGGGAGTGGGGGAGGTGCTGGTCTTGGGGTCAAATCATGTCGACTTGTTAAAACAATGAAGGAACTTACATGACAACTGTTCACGTATTTTACACCCAAAAAGAAGACGGTGGGGATTTTCATACAGGCCAATCCGGCCTCGTTAATCCTAATGTGCTGGGATTGCCTCTTTGTTTGACTGCTTTCATATGTATGCCTGAGTCATCAACGTGATGTAGCTTTGTGTACTGAATGATATGCAAAGTGATGCTAGACGATCAACAGCTCTCAAGCAAATACAAGTCTATATTTAGTTTATGTGGATCTGAAAGTAGAAAAAGGATGGTTTATTGTTGTGTGGGTATTACACCGTGAATAGTCTTCATGTTCATATATACAGGCATGTTTATAAGAATTATCTAAATTTCTATATTAAATATATATTTTGAGAAATATACATTAATGTTTCCTTTAACTTTACGGTTATGTTAGCAAAACAACAATGTACTAAGATGGATGACGATATTGTCACAGCAATCCCTGGCCACAGATCCACAAACAAATAACAAAAATTAGCTGCTTTTTATTTGTAAGGCCACCCTATGTTCATATCAACACTAAAAATTTAGAAACACTACACATTCTGCACACATACTGTGCCGTGGCCTGCTATTTGTTGTTCAAGTTGTCATGAACTTGCACATACCTTTTGACTGAACTTGTAATACATATCATAAGTACATGACCTCACCATCATCACAAAATCACGTTTTTGTAGTTTGAATAGAGACAATAATTGCTTTGTTTTTAAGAAATTACACTTTAAAATGTGTCTTTAAAAATGTACGCTTTAGGCATTCAAAATATTTTTTGTTGTGTAAATGAAAATCCCCCCCCCCTCCCTTTATATGAAAACGGTGGCGGAAAAAGGCCTTAGTTGAAGTGAAATTGGAAGAAATTTAGCGCAAAGTTACAATGCATCTTGAGGACGATTTCATCAACAGAACAAATCAATAATCATGCATATTTCATGAACTAGTTTTACGCTGTGCTTATGGAGCCAAATCAGTCTCAAAAATAATACATTTACAAAGTTTTCATGCATCCACAACAAAATCCAATTTGTAAGTTTAAAATACGATTCAAAAATACACAAATCCAATTCGTAAATTCAAAATGCGATGAATAAATAGACAAATCCTACTCGAGAATTCAAACCACGATTCAAAAATACACAAATCCAATTCATAAATTTCAAAACGCGGTTCATAAATACACTAATCCAACTTGAGAATTAAAAATGTAATTCATAAATACACAAATCAAGTTCAATTGGCAAAAATATTTATGATTTTCTGGCTCCATGTGCTCTTGACATAGTAAAGCGAGGTAATTCGCAGACAAGCAGCCATTTTATTTTGGTGACAATATTAAAAATCTGAATTTCATATTGTTTCAGAATAATTTTGTGCTTTAACAAAAAGAGATGTGATGGTTTGATTGTGTTTTTGTTCTTGAGTATTTTTTCAATGTAAATGACAACATCAAATTACGTCATTAGAAAGTTTTGAAGTTTTACAATAAGACCTTCTTTAGATTTTGGTAATACCTGTGAGTCTCACAATATGGTTTTTATTTACAGCAGCATGTGCAGATTCAGGTAATGCTTGCTCAACAGAACCAGGAAAGGGATAAAAATAAAACCCCTGAAAGCACAGTGCAGTGTTTATTAATTACACTAAGGCATTTTGGCTTTTATCAGGGGATACAAGTCAGTATTTGCTGTTCATATGGGAGCTAGTTTGGTCCTCTGGGAAGAAACCGTAAACAGCCTCAAACTGGTTCCACACAGCAATCCAGCCTTTGAAAGTGATGACAAAGCAGGTCGTCTTTTAAATCTATTGCATTTGTTTCTGCTTCTGTTTGGTGCTTATACCCTCTCACTTTAATATATTGTTTTGACACTTAAATATGTGCAGTGTGTGATTTTTGAGTTCCTAGTTGGTAAAAGCAAGTTGGTTTACTTTACGGCCAAATTTGTAACGCCCCTTGCTGCTATTTTCAGGCATGCATGAGCAACTCTTTCTGCTTGAATATGGAAAGACCAAAACCAAGTAACAGTTTGTTGGAGTGGCATTTTATTAATGTTTTTTAAATATGCAATGGCAATACATTTTGATTACATTGGCATTATCAATTTTTATATTGGGTATGCACCTTTCAGAGTAAAAAAATAGTGGATGAACTCCTTTAACTGCAGGCACTGGTGCATTTAACTGTAGATTTTGACTACAGGTGCATTAAAATAAGATGCAGTTACTTTCATTAAATTTCAGTCATTTCCTTTGATCTCTTTATTTGTTTCAGCCAGGCTTGTGGATATTTAGGGAAATGACATTCTTATTGTAGAGAGCATTTTGTTTCACCAATATGTTCAACACTGAGTATGTTTACATGGACACCAATAAACTGATTTTAATACGATTAAGACATAGAGCATCATAATCGATCTAAACAGAAATTGAATTAAGATGTGGAGTACACCGATTTTAGTTGCATTATTAAAGTTCAGTACAAACATGTAAACACCGCTATTAAACTATTACCATTCTGTTGGATTTTCACTGCATTTTGCTACAGGATAGCATATACACACAGCTTTTTGACACTATTCTCTGCACCTACCGAGTCGGGGAAGGATCACAGACACCTGCATCGTGAAATGCGGAGGTTTTTTCCCATACGGTGTACAATATCAAATTCCACTAAAACAACTCTGTTCTAGCAGTCTATACTCTCTTCCAATATCTTGTTTGTCATAGGGGGCATGCTTGAAATGTTTCTGAATGAAAAAGGAATTGTTAAACTGCAGTTAAAGTCAACAAATGAAAAATATTAAACACCCGAAATCACACAAGAATCCAGAGGAAAGTGAGTAATTTGGTGACGCAATGATGTTAATCGAATTATGTGTTATAACGGAAGTGGAGACATGTACAAATGTAAAAACTTCAAAAGCCCTAATACTGAAGTGTATTTATCTCTGAATTTGTTTTTTATTTCCAGGTGAGCGTGTGCTGTCGTGTCCTGATGAGCCCTGCTACCTGTGGTTTGTCATGGAGTTTTGTGAAGGAGGAGATCTGAATCAGTTCATCCTGTCCCGCCAGCCTGATCCCCACACCAACGCCAGCTTCATGATGCAATTGAGCAGCGCTGTGGCGTTCCTTCACCAAAACAACATTGTTCATAGAGACCTCAAACCAGATAACATCCTTATCTCGGAAAGTTCTGGAGCGCCTGTGTTGAAGGTGGCAGATTTCGGACTGAGCAAAGTGTGTGCTGGTCTGAGTGCCGGAGTACGGGATGCAGAAGAGGGACTTGACAAAAACAGGAACGGTGTTGTTAACATCAATAAGTTCTGGCTCTCGTCGGCATGCGGATCAGACTTTTACATGGCACCAGAGGTTTGGGAAGGACATTACACAGCCAAAGCGGACATTTTTGCTCTGGGTATTATCATCTGGGCCATGATCGAGAGAATCACTTTCATTGATGCCGAGTCCAAACGGGAACTACTTGGGACGTATGTGCGGCAGGGGTCTGACATCGTCCCGGTTGGGGAGGCACTCCTGGAGAACCCAAAGATGGTATTGAGTATTCCCCAGCGCAGGCGCTCGCACATGTCCGAGGCACTCCGAAAACTTTTAAAGGACATGCTGGCTGTCAATCCTCAGGACCGACCAGACGCTCTGGAGCTGCACAATAGGATGGGACAGGTCACTTGCGCGGCGTGAACTTTGACCTCTGTCCTAAAAGCATTGCACACACAGGTATGTCTCTGCCAAAGGAGTTACCTTTAAAGAACAGATTTGGTTGGTTTTGGGTTTGTTTGTTTTTTTAAGGCTGAGCTATACTTGTTCATCAAGTGATTGCCGTAAACTACAGCAAATGCCTTGCGCATAGTCATGCATTTATACTTCTGCATTCTGTTTATGTTGCGCTGCAACAACACTTCCTAAACGCTAGCTGGCAGCAGGCTTTAATGTTCCTCTGTGTTGATAATTTATTTGATTTTTTTTTTTTTTGTGGCTGTTTTGTTTGCATGGGAAATGTCTGTAATGCTACCTTAAGGTACCTAAGGAAGCTCTAACTCGCTTATTCAGCGCCGAAAACAAGCTGACATGCAACAGATTTATCCATAAACACAAAACAAAAGTTTCCACATGGAGTTTTTCCATGGGACACAACACTGGTCAAACATTCGCTCCAACAGGCTCGCTCCAATGTTTAGGACGTTTTTTTGAGAGGTGCGCATATGGATCAGCGTCAGCCACAGCAAAGGGTATGTGACTGTTTAAAGGCTGCCCCGGACCATTCGCACACACTTACCACAGAAGTGTAAGGGTGCACGCTACCGAAGCATGCCCAGGCACATTTCCCTGGTTCATATGACAAGTGTGAGTGCTCCAAATCGGGCCCAGATGTGGTTCAGGTGGCTGGCCCTGGCCCGGGTGGAAGAGGTGTGCCAAAGCGTGGTTCGGTTGGCCTTTGGCGCAGTACACTTGTGATGTAAGTGTAAACGCCTGAGCCTGAAACTGAAGACGCAACGTCACTTTTAAAGGACTGTTTCATAAGGATTTATTAATCCTTCGTACTTTTCGATAAATGCAAACTGCCATAGTTTATTAAAATACAAAAGTGTGCTCCGGTTTGAAGGCAAAATGCAGTGTGAGGGCGAACTCGCATTAGGTACAGTTGCCTGAACTGTGCTGAAGCACAATTGTCCTCCCCTCTTCCTCTCGGCCTGCACTCACATTGCATTTTTTACCTACCGAACCTGAGCATGGTTACATCATTGATAATGCAACTGTCCGGTTTAACAGGAGGAGAAGCACTCTCGTTCAGCACAGTGGACATTGTTTTTCAATTATATAATTTTGTATTATTTTTAGTCGTTTGAGATGCAGTGACATGCAGTCACATATTTTGCCGAACAGATCCACCCCTTTTAACGCTCATAAATTATGATAAAGTCCTCATGCTGCAGGTATTAGGAGGTTTGCTGAAGGTGCAGCTGGTGTGCAATGAGGGATTTTCGTCAAAGTGTCCAATAAAGATGTAAAATTAGACGTTTGCAATGTATGTCGTGATAAAGTCCCTTGAGGTGGAAGCAAGCAATGGCATTTTAACACCTTCAACATGATATAGGCATCTTAGAACAAGCCATACAACTGAATATGCTGAGTATGAGAAGTATGATGAACCATGAACCATGCAGTATGAACCATGCTGCACGGATAGTACGAAGTGGACAGACATCGCGTTCAAAATCAGAATCATGGAATTAATTTGCCTCTACAAACAACCTGTGATATATGGAGTGCAGGCGCCTGTCCAATGTCCCTGCTAAGCTTAACAGCACACTTTATTGACTCAAACTTCGAAAGACACAACATTGCGCTACACTGTCAGGATTTCACAGGGTCACATTCTGCAGAGGGTTTGGTGAACGTGTTTAACGGCATGTTTCAGTCACAGCTGATCCATAGAGAAAAAAAATCCATGCGATTTTAACAGACATACTAGTATCTTTTCCATTAAGTACATGACTTATTCATTAGATACTATCCTAGTGCCAATTCTTTAGATACTAGTGCTTTTTAAAAATATACTAGTGCTTACTCATTAGACACTAGTTCATTTTATTAGATACCAGTCCTGATTCGTTAGATACTAGTACCTATTAAATAGATACTAGTACGCATTCATTAGATAGTACATATTAATTAGATACTAGTACGCATTCATTAGATACTAGTACTTATTAAGATACTAGTTTTTATTTATTAGACACTAGTACTTATTTTAATAGTGACTGGTAACTATTCTGTTGTTACTAGATGTAAATTTGTCTTGATTTCTATGGGATTTGTCTTTGAGATATCAAATACAGTTTTGACTAAATGGTGCAAATTCTGCTAGATAAAAGATTCCCATTCCCCTGCCATTATGTGGTCAGCCGTAATCGGCAATCGGCAGAACATGATTTTTGCGATCTATGATCAGCCCCAAAAATGCTGATTGAAGCATCTCAAGTTTATTTGCACATCCATGAATGTCAGAGATGGTGTAAAGCAGGGGTGCTCAACCCTGCTCCTGGAGATCGACCTTTCTAAAGAGTTCAGCTCAAACCCTGATCAAACACACCTGAATCAATTAATTAGGACCTGAACAACACTTGATAATTACAGGCAGGTGTGTTTAATATGGGTTGCAACTGAAATCTGCAGGAAGGTTGATCTCCAGGAACAGGGTTGATCACCCCTGGTGTAAAGTCTGTCATAGATGTGTAAAACAAGTTATGGCAAACGTCTTTGACAATCTGATGACAGGTCAAAACAAACAGTAAATAAATGGCTTTTCATTGATTTGTTACATAAGGGAGCATCATTCAAAACCGAAGCGGACACATCTCTTTGCTTCTCGCTCTACACAAAAACTGGACATTCCTCTCTAGACGTTACTAATAACAATACATTATGCTAAATGTTTATCCCTTTAAGACCACTATTATTAGGAGTGTTGATTCCATTGATGAATGATCCATTTACTGACTGATTGCCGGCTCAGTATTAGCTAGAATTTCAGTAGTTTCTTTTTTAATATCCCTGTATTCATCTGCCATCTGTATTTTCACACTGCCTTCCCAAGGGTGTTGATTATTTCGATGAGACCCATGGGTGGTGAAGTGGAGAATAATAAGACATGAGATTCAAGGATTTGAATCCAAGTTAAACCTTCATACATCATAAGTTATGCAAGTTTTGAAAACACCTTCATTGTTTTTCCTACAGCAATGAAGTCATTCATCACTGTTTCAAATTACAGTATCACACTTGTTATGACAGCTCAGTCAAGGCTTGAATCAGGATTTTTTTTTTAATGGCATGAGCTTCTGTTGCATGCTTTAAGAGCCTCTTTTGTTTTTTAAAAGTGCATGCTGGGATAGCTGTTACACAACCGCACCCATTCACCACCACCCCTTCTCTAACTCTCTCTCTCTCTCTCTCTCTCTCTCTCTCTCTCTCTCTCTCTCTCTCTCTCTCTCTCTCTCTCTCTCTCTCGCTCACACACACACACACACACACACACACACACACACACACACACACACACACATATATACACTTTGCCTTGAGGCACAGCGCTCATCAGGCAGACCAGGTGACTGGGAGTTGTTCCTTGTGCATAAATGGAAAGATTGTTGGTTTTGACATGCCGCACACAAATGACAGTTCCTTGCAGAGGACACAGTTTAGTCTGTAAATTGTTTCATTAAGGGACATGCAACGTTACAATATCAGTCATTGTTCAGTAGTGAGACCTGATCACTTTGCACAGACAGGCAGAAACAATCAGGTTTTGTGGGATCAGTGTTTGCTCCTGTCGTTTGCCAGCATATGTTGGTGGATTAAATGGTTTTTCATATATTTAATTAAGAGTGCCAAGTTCCCATTTCTGCCTATTGGTCACCTTTGTGTCAAGTGTCCGATAGATAGATAGATAGATAGATAGATAGATAGATAGATAGATAGATAGATAGATAGATAGATAGATAGATAGATAGATAGATAGATAGATAGATAGATAGATAGATAGATAGATAGATAGATAGATAGATAGATAGATAGATAGATAGATAGATACTGTTTTATTGAAAGTAAGATCCATAAAACGATACTGTTTACTGTAAGATGACGACACCACATACTGGCTTACCTAATGAAGCATTTTTGGTCATTTTCACAGATGTATAAATGCAATTATATACATTATATGCAATTATATAATTTAAACACCAAGGAAAGCTTTTTCCTTTTAGCTACATTGTTGTCATGTAAACGTAACCTCAGACTGAAAACAAATGTCAGTATGAATGTGTGCTGTTTCACTCAAGTAGAATGTAATCCTTAGCACACCTTAAAAGTTGAATTCTCTTTAGAATATTGTAAGTGTAAAATTATACTGCGACTTTAAAAATGTCATTTGAATTTTTGTCTTATTATGACAAGATGATGTATGATTTGCATGTAAACCCTAAAGTTAAAATGTTATGTTATTGGCCAGGGTATCCCTCATCTGCAAACCTATTTAAATGCTGTACTTTAGGGCTGAATACCACTCTGCAATAGTGTTTGTGTGTTTGCTGAGAGCATGAATGCATTGTAAAGGCAGGCTTCATCATTTCCCCAGTCATTATGAGGAGGTTACAGCTGTCTGCCTCTCCGCTCCTCTTTTGTTCACCATCCCCCTCTATCAGGCAGGAAAAGGATCCTGCGTGGAGCCTCTTGGCTAATTTGCTCTCAGACAGTGGTGTGTATGTGTGAGAGGGTGGGTTTGTGCCTGAAACAGCGTGTGTTTTGTAGTTGGAGTGGCTGCGGTGGGGCATTTAGTAGCTTCTCCTGACTCAGCACATAGTTTGATCTGCAGGATACGAGGAGGAGGGGTGAGGGCTTTACTGTACGCGGATGAGATCAAGCTGCAGTCCTGCTGACTAATGACAGATAGCCTGCACAGATTTGTTTTTTCTGTTTCTGTTGGGTCTGAATGCTTTCAAATCTGATTACCCAACAAGCAATCTGAGATGCAGACCCATTTGAAATGGCCGTTATGTAACTGCACCAGCCATCATGACATTCCAGTCAGACACTCGGAAGTGCAAGAAAATAAATGGACCTCTTTTCAGTAGATTTTTGTATTTTAGTAGTCCATTATTTTGGAGATTTGTCTTTCATTTCTATAATATATATAAATGGCTGGAATGCAGGATTCTATATATTAGCCCTGGGTCAGTTTAACGCAGTGAATTCTGTGTGATTGTGGCAAATCTATCACACATTTAGTGTCATTCATGCCACATGCTGGAAACTTGTAGATATTTGCAGGTTTTTATTAACTGTGTTTAATTATTTTACTCAATTAAATACTTTTACAATTTTGCTTTTGGTGTGATCTCGGCATATTAAATTCATATGCTGCAGGCAGTGGCTTTGTGCAAATCTCTGAATGAGCTTCCTGAATTGAAGTAAAGATTTCTTGTGCTCGGGTTATGAGGGTGTTGTGAACACTGTGTGGATTGTGTAAAGCCTGGTTTATACTTCTGCATCAAGTGATCGGCGTGATCCACGGCGCATTCAATATTTTGAAGGAGTCAACATTACGGAAAATATGTTCTGCTGTCTGTGTTTCAAAACACAAATTTCTTTACTATACAAAAACAACATCTTTGTATATCTTTTCTGTTGCAAATAGTGTTGTCCTAAAAAAACAAGAAGCAAAATATAAATAAAATAACTTACACACAGCTTAGGAACTGTAAGTATAAAACTTTGGCGGTTTTAAAACCTTGGCTTTTGCAAACTGTGGTACACCTTAAAAACTATGTACAAGTAGCTCAAACTCGCTCATTTTGAGGCTTGAACCGGCGAATGTGCAACCACTTTAATCATAAGGTAAACACAAAACAACATTCCCTATCCAAAGCTCCTTTACGGGACTCGGCGCATCGGCAAGGGCTATGCGACCATGCATAGGCTGCGCCGTAGAATACGTGTGCGCTTGACGCAGAAATATAAATCAGCCTTAATTGTGAACACAGTCTATGCAACACGTTTACATCTAACCTGAGAACCCTGATTTAATGATCACTTTAATTAGGACTAAATATCCTGACAATGGCAAATAGCTTTGGTTTTAGATTTAATTTGATTACATTAATGTTTACGTTAACATTTACATTTACAAGATATTTTTAACTGTTAATAAGTAGGCCCATCACCATATCTATTTTTTGTTGTACAATGTATTGCACCAAAATGTGTTGGAATAAACTATATTATTGTCATTTTAAGTCCATTTATGGCACTCATATAAAACCAGAATAACAATATAAAAGCAACATTTTATGCAATTTTCACAAGTAAAAAAATAATTAAAAGAACACAAAGTATTTTATTTATACGTATATTTAATATAATTATAGTAATTTTTACAATTGAATAATTAGGCATTGGAATGTCAAAACATATTTCCTAAACAAATAAAGGTTAAATGTTAACAAAAAAAGTGCAAGGGAAATGTTATATTTTTTTTACTAAAGTGAACAATACTGAAACTGACACCACCAGTAGACACCACAGGCTGCGCAATCAGCTTAAATGTTGCTAACAGGGTTTTTTTTTTTAATGTATGGGTGATATCTGTTGCATCATAAGGATAATAGAGGTCATGATCTTATATTAAGTCATTATATTGATTATTGTGACCGGCCTATTAATAAGAGAATACTGCTATAAAACAGCTCTGTTGTATAAACTGTTACTGCGCTTTTTTCGTATACCAGAACTTTTAAAATAAATGTGTGCAATACCCTATTTCTAAATTTATTGTTGCATTTTGCCAATAAGAATGTGATTATTTGCAAAGAATTCATGTGATTTATCATGGCTGTGTATCACAAAGATTTCTGTCATTGTCAAGCTAAAATTAGTGAGTTAAATAGAGAGTAAAAGCTCAGATATAGCCAGTTTGTGTATTACAATTAAAGCTAACAGATGCTAATGTTTTCTTAATTAATGTTCAACAAAATTGCAGAAAAATTAGTTGAGGATTTTAAAACCTTTTTACAAGTCTTATCAATTATTTTATAACTCCGTTTTTCTTGAGAATAAAATTAGTACAGTCTTTATACTAGACATGGGACGATAGCTTTCAAGGTATACCACGGTTTAGAAAGTCAACGTTTTGAAAACGCCAACATTTCCTGCTATACCTTTCCTGAGGTATATGTAAAAAATTAAATTTCCTTTTTCATGTTTGTTTGTTTGTTTTTTAGGACAACAGTATCTCCAGCAGAAAAAAAATCCAAAGATGCTGTTTTAAATTGTAATGAAATCTGGTTTTGAAACTAATGGAGACCTTTTTGAAACTTATGGAGATGTTTACTGCTCCAAAATATGATAAAAGTTTCTCAAAATAAAATATATTGTGTTTAAAAGGCAAAAAAAAAATTTTTTTGTTTTTTTACGCAGATGTTTAAAAAGGACATATTTTAGAGCAGCAATAACAATACATGAAACAGATTTTTTTTTCTTTAGTTGTTTTTTTATATAGTTATTTATTACAATTTTTTTCTTCCAAGGTTATCATACCATCTGAATCATATATTGGCCCATGCCTAGTCTTTACTTCCTGATACTGAAAGTTGCTTGTTCCCAATTCAAATGTATAACTTGTATAACTACAAATTTTTTTCTCATTTAATAACTTGATTTCCTGTTTTTTCATTCTTTTCTTAGGTTTACCTGTTCCACGAGAGACCAGAAGGGACTGCATTGCTTGGAAAGCTGTGAATCTTCCACTGCTGATTTAATGTGAAGAGTACAAAGTACTCAACTTGGACACCAATACAATGTTTGCCACATGTAGATTTTTTGTTTACAGTAGTGATTTAAACAAATCATTCATCAAGCCCAGAAGTGTTCAGCCAAATTCAATCACCGGTTACGTCACTAAGAGTGAAGTAATGCTAAAAAAATGTTGAGATACAGTAAGTACAATCAAGCTAAAACTTGCAAGCTTTTTATTAGTCTTAACAGGGGACCGGGACTTTAAAATTCCTTTAGCAGAGCTTGCCTAGTTGCTCATCTTCTCAAAACAATCCTTTAAAATTAACAAAGTATTTCAATTATTTTATTTGATAATTAAAGTTGTGTAAGCAGTGAAGCCTTCAGTATAATAACACAGTAACACATTAAGACACTCACAAAATACTTGACTACATTTTTGTGCCCAACCATATAAAGAAATGCACATCACATCAAAATAATTCCATTTCCATATTCTCATAGTCTTATTCTTGGGTCCAACCTATGGGTTCTCCATACTTAATCGGTGTTGTGATAAGATCGTCTAACACCATGTGAATCAAAAGCAAACTTTTATATCTTGATTTTGTTTCTACTCACATGCTCATGATCTTAAGCCCAATATTGAGATTTTATTTTCTCCTTGAATGCAGATCGACCCTGGTGCCTTGAAGTCTAGTGATAGTTTTGTTTTTCAGCTTTATCTTTTAAATATGCAGTGTATTGTCAGAGCTTTTACACATTACACTTTACATTTTAGGCATGTGCAGTTTAACCTTTTAGGTATGGAGCCAGATCAGTCTCACAAATCATACATTTACAAAATATAATTCATACATCCACAACACAATTCATATTTTAAAAAAACACAATTCAAAAATACACAAATCCATTTAATAAATTCAAAAACAAATGAAAAATACATAAATCCAATTAATAAATTAAACTATTCAAAAATACACACAGCCAATTGGTAAATAAAAAAAACAATAAAAAAATACACATTTAATTCTCTAAAAACAATTTAAAAAATGTCAATTCCAATTCGTAAATTCAAAAAATTATTCAAAAATAGACAAATCTAGTTCATAAATTTAAAACACGATTCAGAAACACACAAATCCAATTTGTAAATTCAAAAAACAATTCAAAAATACACATCCAATTCGTAAATTCGAAAAACAATTCAAAAAGCCATTTAATTCATAAATTCAAAAACAAAACAAAAAAAATAATCAAGTCCAATTCATAAATAAAAATACACAAAAAATTCAAAAATACACATTTAAATTCAATTCGTAAATTTAAAAAATTATTCAAAAATCCAATTCATAAATTCAAATCATGATTCAGAAACACACAAATCCAATTAGTAAATTCAAAAAACGATTCAAAAATACACAAATCCAATTCATAAATTAAAAAAGAATCAAAAATACATAAATCGAATTCGTAAATTCAAAAAACCTAAAAAAAAAAACATCCAATTCGTATATTTAAAAACTATTTAAAAATGCACAATTCCAATTCGTAAAAAATATATTTAAAAATAGACAAATCCGATTCGTAAATATAAAAAAAAGATTCACAAATACACAATTTTTATTCATAAATTAAAAAAAAAAAAATACACAAATCCAATTCATAAATAAAAAAAAAAGAAAACGATTCAAAAATATACATCTAATTCGTAAATTCAAAAAAATTAACTATTTAAAAATACACAAGTCCATATCGTAAATTCAAAACATGATTCATAAATACACAAATCCAATTAATTTGACCTTTGGGGTTGTTAATGTCAATGTGCTGTGCATGTATGAATTTTATTTTGTAACTGTATTATTTATGAGAATGATCTGGCTCTACATGTAGGTGCCAGTTTTTACATTGTGTGAGGTTATTTCTTGCCCAAAAAGATCGAATGATTCAGCTGCCCTTTATTACAATGTCACAACCACCCTGTATGCACACACACACACTTACACACACACACACAAACCTACACCTACAATTTTAATGGTTTAGTAGATTTTGAACTTAGAGATGGATTCAGTTGTCACTTAGAAAAGATGAAGATGTTTTTTTTTATAATAATAAATTAATTTCATTACATTTCTTCTAATGCTTTTACTGTTGAATTTTGGCTCTATAACCATTTGACAGTTTTTTTTTTTTTGTTATCTGATTACTTGAATAGGTTCTTTTCAAAACACAATGGGAGTTCTAGTGGTAACATTGATCTCCTTCATCTGAATCCTAAACACTTCGTTAAAAAAGAGATTGGTGTGTGTGTTTGGCTGTTTCCAGGTGTGTTTTTGCCCGACAGTTCGTGTGTGCTAATAGTTCTACCTCAGCACTCTTGTGTTTTAGTAACTAATTCACTAAATTGACTGGCAGTGCTTTCTGTTGTTTCTGGAAAGACTAGTAGTTAACGGTTTTCAGATGTATTTATTTATACAGTATGTGTTTTTTCATTTTTGGTTAATAAATCTATAGTACTTTTAAAAAATTCCCATTTTTGATTTCTGACTGCTGTAGAAGAAACGTTATGCTTGTGAGATCACAAGGTATTAAAGTATTTCGAGTTGAGATATTCTGGACCATATGGTGGTTCTTCACATGGGAGCAAAAATGTTCTGTTACTTTTTATACGTTTGCTTGTTTTATTCTATCAGGAAAGGCTTTTTGTTTTTAATGCATTATTTAGGTTTCTTTTAAATTGACATTTCCCGATCAGCATTTTAAATGATTGTATGTTTCATGAGGGTCCGTTAATCCTGGAGCGAGTTAAAGTCAATGTTTTTTTACCTTTCAATTATGGCTCTTTTCAGTTCGAATGTTTTAGAAAGTGTAAACATTGAGACGTTTGTCATAGCAGTCAATTGATCTGGATTATTAGACTGCACTGCACTGAGGAGAGCAAAAGGGATATAAAAGAAGCTCATTTCCTGTTGTATCATCTCTTTTTCATGCTTTTTATGCTTTTCTTTGTATTCCAGTTTTGCCTGTAAATGCACTCGTCTATGCAACCTCTCCTTCTACACTGTGTGATGCTGCTCTGCTGAACTAGCCTCTAGCCTTTTAAGACCTTGATATTTTTGCTTTTTTGTGCTTATGACTTTTTTTGTGGACTTTTTTTGTGTGAAAGTTGACACTTTCCTTTGTGTTAAGCACACTAGAGCTCTTGGAAGCTTCACTCATTTTTTTGGGTGTCATATTTTATTGTGTTTTGTTCAATAAACCCTGTAAAAGCGTAACCTGTTTGTGTTTTCAGTGTTTTGTCACTCCCTGAAGTAATTTACTGACTAGTTAGAGTATATGGATTTTTTCAAGATATTTACTCTTGATCAAACCATAGTAAGGCCCAATCCCAATTCTACCCCTTAGCCCTTCCCCTTACCCCTACCCCTCGTTTTGCGCGTGCCAGTGAAGGAGTAGTGGTGTCCTAAATATCTTTAGCTTGAAGGTGTAGGGCTAAGGGCAAGGGGTACACACCCCTTCAAACAAAGATTTTTCAGGGCCACACTCGAAACCAAGGGGTAAGAAAAATTTCAAGGAGATTTTAAGGAGATCCACAAATTAGTATTTTTATCATTATTACGAATTTTTACAACAATTTTGACATATTCATAACGGCTTTTGTGTTTTACCGTCATGCTTTAAAAAAAAAAAAACGCTAAAATAAATTAAAAAAAAACACTAAATTTCTTGATCTATAAATCCATAAAAACAACTTCTGTACAGCAGTCCCACAACATTCTGACACTCGATGACGCTGGAATACCCTGTCAGAAAGTTTAGTGGCTGTCAATGGGCTTTTTACAGTGTCTGCTATAATGTTAATGTTGTTTTTGGTGTGTTTACATTGAGAAATATGGCCTCTGTGTTAAATGCACAGTATTACAATCTTATTGCCACATTAAATCGTTATGATAACATAATAAATGCCTTCAGTCATTTCCTGAAGATTAATACCAAAAAAAAAACACAACTGGAATCACTACTGCAGTTGCAATCGTCTGATCTCATATGAAGCAAGAGATGGCGATGACGTATGATGTCGTGTGTAGGTGCTGGAGTGCTGTCCCAATTCTTAGGGGTAAATTTTAAAGCCCTTCCCCTTAACCCTCGGTTGTAAGGGCCAAGGGGAAGGGGTAGGAGTACAAAAATAGAATTGGGATTGGGCCTAAAGGTTCAAAACGTTTCAAGCATAGCACCATCGTGTCTATATAGGGCTGCACGATATTGGAAAAATCTAGTGTTTTGTTTTGTGAAATATATTGTGATATAAATACAATTTCACCTGATAACCTAATATCTCTTTTTGGAAAGGATTTATAATGTTAGATAGATTGGGATAATTCTGCGGTGGGAGTGCATCTGCATAAAATCGAATAAACAATCTAGAAACTTTTTGAGCTCCCCGACACATTTTCGATGTTGTCTGTGCTATTTGCAGTGCATTTCTGTATTGGCATGTGTTGTGAGGATTTTCATGCATAATAACTACAGCTTAGATCAAGTCCAAAAAATTAAACCCCAGCCTGTGCACCTTGTGTCCGAGCCTGACCCGGTGCAACACATTAACTGTAATTATAAGCCCGAATCCGACAGTTTTTCAATACATGGGCTGTTATAACAGACGTTCTCAGCTACAATTCTGAGTTGTTTGAACTACAGAAATGTGTTTTGAATTATCGTGCCTAGTTCAGTGATACAATTGAAAAAGTGACAAAAGATGACATTAAAGGCTGACTATCATTCTTTCTGCATATCTGTCAGTGTCAACCCTCCTGTTTTTGTCAGGATTCTATCCCACTATCTTTCATTTAAGCATTTTCCCATATTTTTTATGAAAAGTGCAAGTAGCATCAAAGTGCTGATCTTAAATGTGATATAGTCCCAATTCTAATTTTACCCCTTAGCCCTTCACCTTACCCAATGTCCCATTTCTCTTTATCTTGAAGGCGTAGGGCTAAGGGGAAGAGCTATAGAGTCCTTGAAACAGAGATATTTTTAGGACCACACTCAAAACCAAAGGGGAGTCAAATTTCCCAGAATACACCATCTAAAACGGCAGCATAGCTGCACACAGAAGTAAAGAGATGCACAAATTAGTATTTTTTGTCATCATTACGAATTTTTACAACAAACAAGCATATGTTTTAATATATTCATAACCGCTTTCGTTTTTTACCATCTTGCTGTTTTTTTTTTAAAAATGCTAAAATAAAAACTTTAAATTTCGCTATCTATAATCCATAATAATTACTAGCAGCAATGTTAATGTTGTTTTGGTGTTTAGATTGATATGGCCACTGTGTAAACGCACAGTAAAGTTATGATCTCATTGCCACATTAGATTGTTATGATGACATAATACATGCCTTCAGTCATTTCCTGAAGTTAAATACAAAAAATAACTCAACTGGAATAACTACAGCAGTCGCGATCCTCTGATGTCATATGAAAGCAAGAGATTGCGATGACATATGCTGATGTGTATAGGTGCTGTAGTGCTGTCCCATTTTTTAGGGGAAAATTTTGAAATATGCTGTCACTTTATTTTGGCTTGAAACCACTTTGAAACTGAATATAACAGCGGCTGCATTTACTATGCAATCTCTGAATCAGTCAATTCATGTAACGCCTGTTTCAGCGCCAGCCAATGAAATTCGTTCGCAATCGGCTACTGTTTGAGAATATGTACGCTTCCGTTGGCGCTTGAAGAGTTGAGAAAGTCCCAACCTCTGCAGTAAGCAACGCCACTGAAGTGGCGCCAACGGATCCTCAACGCAGATCGGCAACGCCCGACATCACGCCAGTAAATTGGGCATAATGGTATTCAAGTACAGTAAGTAAATGATCAAAATAAAAATAATTCAATAAAATGAATTGTCGTTACG